CTGAATGACTTGCAGATAGAGCAGGGGCTGAAGAACAGGCAGTGACTGGTTGCTTCCTTCTGCAGGTGTCTTGTGCAGCGCAGAAGCCCCAGTGTCTAGTGTGTTAGCTGACACAGAGTAGGCACTGAGTGAATACGTGAGCAAATGATTTACAAGGAAGCGAGGTATCATCTTTCTTTCCAATCTCACTGAAAGCACCCAAGAATGGGCCCCTTTCTCTAGATTTCTCCATATACCAACCCGGGGACCTGTGAAAATATAAGGAATTTGAAAAGGTCCTATGTGTGTAACGAGGCTGACAAATGAAAGCATGTGATGGCACAATGACAGCGATGAGAAGGAACATCAGTAATCCATGCTGCACTGTAGAGATTGCAGAAGCACGCAAGGACAAGTGGTCTTGTCTCTGCTTAACAAGCATGCATTTAATTGGAAACCTAAATAATATATTAAGCTTTCTGTGTTGGAATTACTCCATGCTGTTCTGCTTATCTGTCCCTGAATGAGATGAATTTCCAGTGGCATGCTTGGGTTGCTTTATTCAACACCAGCAGGCAGCCACTGTTAATGATCTTTACTCTCCTGGTAGCTGGAAGGGAGTTTCCGTCCTCCTGGGGGAGGCAGCTGTGATGCTTGGGCCAGAGTTGCCACACCATGTTCATCTGCACCATTAACGTCTGGAGGGAAAGAGAGCCGTCTCTATCTCCTACCCCAATTAACAGAAATTCCCAGCCTTATTCAGTACCCAATGTTTTGTAATTGGGCAAACTTGCTCTTTTGTTTGAATGACTCCAAGGTTTACCTCCCTTCTATAGAAAACTGACGTTCTGCAGAATGGACAGAGATGATTTCCTAGTTTTTCAAAAAAGCAGTGTGGTTTTCTCTTCCTACGGGTGATAAGCTAGTTTTATCTTTTACTTTGAATACAGAAAAATTCATTCCAATCATGAAAAGTATGTCAGAAGTAAAGTAAAGCAGACCACTCTGTTGTATTTGGGTTACATAACCAATTTCCCAAGCTCTCTAATGAAAAAGGGACTTTATTATCATGAAGGTAGAAGATTTTTGAAGGTGATGGGGAATGACAGTCGTTTTCTCTGTGGTAGCTGTGCAATCACACAGAGATGATAATTTCAGGGGAAGAAAAATGACCCTTTGCCCTTTAAGACAGTCAGTAGGCTTTTACAAGCAGGCAACCAAAGATTGCACTGTACTAGCATTTAATTTTTAATTAATACTAAATTACAATTGCATTTTCAGAGCATCCCTCCTTAGGCCCACATTAGCAGTAAGAGAGTTCACTTGGATGGATATTAGTGCAGAGAGCACCAGGGAAATGAATAAGAGATCCACAATTGCTGTCGATGGAAAGCACAAAAAGGAAATGAATCTCAACTAACAGCAGAGGGAGCTCTGGATGCTGCATGGCATGATGTGTGCGGCACGATAATCAGAGGCCTCTCTGTGAAATGACTGCAAGGTTTTGCTCTACCTAGGAAAGTTTCGGAGTTGAGAGGCAGCATGGCAGAGTGGAAAGGGGATGGATTTTGGATTTAGGTAGTAGGAAAGAGGATGGGTTTTGGAATTAGACAGCTCAAGGTGAAAATCCTATAACACACAAAAGGTAGTGTGAATGTCTGGGGCGATGGGGAAGATGAACAAGCCTGCTTTTGTAAAGTGCCGGATACGCAGGTGTCCAGTAACTGGTAGCTATTACTGTCTCTTGTTTGGATCTATAAATTCCAAAGAGAACTCTAAAGACTGGCTTGAGTAAATTGTGTTAAAGAAATTGAACTTGTAAGGATACAACTCACATCACGATCACTGTGGAAGATTTTCTCAGAACTCTTATCTGAGGTTCTGGATGAGAAAGTAGGCAGGTTATTTTCTGTTTTAGGAGCAGAAGTTACTCTGTTGACATTTCACAAGAGCCCTTGACATGCTTAGTGTAAAGAAGAGGTAAGAAAAGAGGAAAGAGAAGGAGAAATAGAAGAAGCAGAGGGGAGGAGAAAAAGAGCAGAGGTAGGAAGGAGTTGTGGTGGGCCAGTGAAGCATTTTAAATCTTGATTTTAAAACCCAGTTTATTATTTTGAAAAGACCAAAGGGCATGGCTGTAATTGCCTTTGGAAGATAAGGGTATAACATATTTTTTCTGACTTTTTTTTCCCCCAAATTTTCTTAAGGACATACTACTTTTATAATTAGGAAAAATTAAATGAAATTGCACCCTTATTAATTATTTCAGTATTGCATGTCTTTTTTATGGTCCTTTGAAAGAGTAATGTTTGAGAAGCTTCATTAACTAATGATGTATACAAATAGGACCTGCGGGGTTTAGGAATTGAAATTCCAGCCTTAGGAATCACTACAGGTAAGGTAAGCCAGGACCCTTAACTCCTTTCACCTTCACACAGGCAAAAGGCAGAGTGTTTCATATGGGGGAGTCTAGCTTAGTAAACACACATCAGTCTCTGACAGTCAAGTTGTTTTGCATGAGGACCCTAACTCTCTCCCTGACCTTTCTCCAGCGTCTGGAATATTTTTTATTCCAGTGTGTGGGATAACTCTCTGTGAACTTGTTTCCAACGCAGCATTTTGGTTCTCCGGAACTTCAGGAAGCCTGAGTGAACTCGAGAGATGCTGGCTTATCACACTGCGCCTGACACCTGGCTCTGCGCTATCTGCAAAACCAATAGAAATAGCTGCAGGGGAACTTGTATGCACCGGGAACAACTTTTAATTTAGGCAGTTATCTTCTTCAAACAGACAGTTTGGGTCTCTACATTTCAATCATCAGGACTCTTCAGGACAAGCAAAAAGCCTCGGCAAACCAGTAAACACTGCAGTGCTTCTTTAGACATGAACACGTTGATTAACGTTTACATACTGAAATCACCATGGAGAACGAGCAAACAGCCCATCCCTTGACTCACATAGATGAGCCTATTTACATAGAGTGGTTCAAACCATCCAGGATAGTGAGTACATTTAGACCGTGAAAGAAGGAATGCCACCCCTTCATGCTTTCCCCTTGTGTAGTGATTGTTTTAGCTTGTCTTGGGGCATAATCAAAGAGGAACTGATGTGTTTAGGAGGAGCATCAGAGGAGCAATAGGTATTCCAGAAAGAAGTTAGTTGATTAATGCTACTGAGTGAGAGAAAAAGAAATTTAAGTGGTGAAGATTTTTTTTTTTTTTTTGTGAGACGGAGTTTCGCTCTTGTTACCCAGGCTGGAGTGCAATGGCGCGATCTCGGCTCACCGCAACCTCCGCCTCCTGGGCTCAGGCAATTCTCCTGCCTCAGCCTCCTAAGTAGCTGGGATTACAGGCATGCACCACCACGCCCAGCTAGTTTTTTGTATTTTTAGTAGAGACGGTGTTTCACCATGTTGACCAGGATGGTCTCGATCTTTCGACCTCGTGATCCACCCGCCTCGGCCTCCCAAAGTGCTGGGATTACAGGCTTGAGCCACCGCGCCTGGCCTATGGTGAAGATTTTTAAGAAGTGGGAACACAGGCTGGGCGCGGTGGCTCACGCCTGTAATCCCAGCACTTTGGGAGGCCAAGGCGGACGGATCACGAGGTCAAGAGATCGAGATCATCCTGAGCAACATGGTGAAACCCCATGTCTACTAAAAAGACACAAAAAATTAGCCAGGCGTGGTGGTGCGCACTTGTAGTCCCAGCTACTCGGGAGGCTGAGGTGGAAGAATCACTTGAAGCAGAAGGCGGAGGTTGCAGTGAGCCGAGATTGCGCCACTGTACTCCAGCCTGGGTGACAGAGCCAGAACCAGGCTCCATCTCCAAAAAAAAAGAAAAAGAAAAAGAAGTAGGAACATAGCTCTGGGGATGTGTTGTGAGAAATCAGGACTTTCATGTTATAGAAAGAAAAGTCATATGCCATTGCAGAAAATTAGCGACCACTTGGTCAGAGTCTTGAAGTGTCAAGGAGTAATAAGTAAAAGAGAGGAATATTTACTAGTTGTTGAAATCCTTTTCTGTTCCATATTTGCTTGCTTATGTTGACTTTCCTAACTTGCCTTCCTCTTACATAACATCCTTCCTACTCCTGGTAAAGAAAGATGGTGTAGCATTTTGATCAACGTGCAGAAACAAAGGGCTGTGAACTGAATTGTCCCGCTCAAATTCAGGCACTGAATTCCTAACCCCAATGTGACTGTATTTTGAAATAGGGTTTTTAGGAGGTTAATTACGGTTAAATGAGGTCATCAACATAGGCTGCTAATTCAATAGAATTGGTAGCCTTATTAAAAAGGAATCTCTTTTTTTCTCTCTGTTTCCCTTTCTTCCTCTCTCCCTCTCCCTTTGTACTGAAGAAGATGTGAGGACAGAGAAGGTGGTTATCCTCCAGCCAAGGAGAGAACCCTTACTAGGTACTAGATACCAACTCTGCTGGCACCTTGACCTTAGACTTTGCAGTGTCCAGGACGCTGAAAAACGAAGTTCTGTGGTTTAAGCCACCAAGTCTGTGGTATTCTACTATGGCAGCCAGAACTGACTAGACACCAATGATATTTTATTTTGTTTTTAAGTTTCTCTAAATGACTATGGCAAAATCTTGAACCAGAGGACTTAAAAAAAAATGAAGCTCAGTTATTTTCATCTCATTTCTTAGTTTCTTGACTGACAGAAATAATATCTTCTGGCCATTTCCCATCACTTGAAGTGATACTTTCCATTGGATAAGCGGGCCTTGAACATCCTGTTTTCACAGCCATCTGTTTGTCTCAATGTAATTCCATGGTCAGCCTTAAATGCAGACCCCTCAGAATGGGCTCTTCATGATTTGCTTCAATTCTACATGTTGAATAACTTTATTATACTGTTTCCCAAGTTATATAGTAAAGGATTGGGCTATAACAATAGATGTAGGAGAAGGGTAGGCTTCTATCATATGATTAATAATGTAACACTATTAATGAAATATTAAAAAAAGAAAAGCATAAATGCTGTTTTAGAACATTCAAGAACAAAATACAATTTTTTAAGAAAGTATTTTATTTTTGTGTCTCAACAGATGAAATTCATAACCTTGTTTTCTGATAAGACAATTCAAACATACAAATCAGTTACAACAATGTGCTTATCAGCTCCCCCTCCCGCCCCTATGTTTTAAAGCAACTGACAGTTTTGAAGGACACCAAGACAATCGGGCTTAGCTAAACAATATGGCAATTAAAAATGGCCCTCTAAGAAAATAATTACAATAGTTATTGAAAAGAATTTGTCCTTTGAGCAAAACAGACTGAATGAAAAGAATTATCATGAAATGAGAATTACAGCTTCTCTTCCAATAAAGGAGAAAAGGGGATGTATGTTAAAACAATGATACAGAAAGCTGGGGAGTCAGACTGAAAACAGAAAGCCCCAGGCAATCAATGTCTCCAATAAAATGCATCCCCTTGAAGATACCCATTCAAACTCTTGTTTCCTATTGAAATAAATAACTGTTTTCCCACACCCAGCACCTGGAAGTGAATCATTTTTGTTCTCCTTTGTTAAAATTAATAATTTCTTCAATCCAGCATCTCTCCAAGAAAAAGGGTGTTGTTATGAATTTTGTAAAAATCAATGACATTAAAGATAAACCAAGCCAATCCATGGCCAACACCATTTTAGATTTTAGTTGTAAAGAGATTAGACATATTCTGGCAGACCTGGGGCTCCTAGGGAAAGCGGGGTTCATACTCAATGACATCTAGTTACTGTAATCCTGTAGCACCTTTCTACTAGGTCCCCAATTCTACATACCATTTCCTCATGCTTTTCATGGTAAGCCTCACAGCACCCTTGTGAGGTAGGTAGTGTTATGGTTATTTTGAGAGATGGGGATGCAGAGATGTCAAGTAGCTTGCCCATAAAGAAACATGAATCCAGTGACACAGCCCTAGGGACTCTTACTCCAGATCCTTGTCTTCTTAATATTTAACTGTTCTGACTCCCTGAGAGTGGATCATTAAAGCAGGTAGGTCCTTGACGCCAGGATTGTGCCTGGCCTGGTGGACTGTAAGGCCTGTCTCTAAACCACATGATTTAGATGTTAGAATGAGACACAGGTTGCAATCAGTATGGAAGCCAAAGGAGTTAATGTGGAGAAACACAGGATTAACGTTTGAATCACAGTTTGGTGACGACTTCAGTGATGGGCTGTTCAATTCCTATGATAATGGATACTCAGTAGATGTTACATAATTAAATAAATGAGTAAATGAATGAAAGGAGATTGTGCTTGGATAGGTGGAAAACTAAATTTTCTGTATCTTTTAAAACAAAGCCAGAGGAATCTGATTTTTAACTTCTAATCAAGGATGAGAAGGAAAGAACTGAGTAGATTTCTGAATATTCTGTGGGCATGTATTTAAGCCAATTATTGGCCGTATTTAAAAAAGATAAATACAAAGACATTTAAAATCATTTTCAATATAGAATGTATTTACTTATCAATTTGGAAATGAACTCCAGATCAATATTCAAGGCAGTGTGATATGCACAAACATCACCCATTTTCTCTGCAATTAAACTATCATATATGCTTATATGATCATTGCCATTTATTTGAAATGCTTGTGCTCTTCAATTGTATAAAATGCTCTTTTGAAAATATATTGAACTACCTGAACAATGAACTACTCTCCCTAGACTCACTAGCCAGGATACATTTGTCAGTTACTTTCGATTTCGATGAACCTATTTTTTTTTCCCCCAAAAGACTCACAGCAGAAAACAGCTGCCCTATGTTGAAACCAGCCCTGCATTAAAGCCAGCAACTTTCTTACAGCAGTGCCATGAAGGGCTCTTGAGACCGTGGAAGCACAGACCACTGGATTCTCCAGGTGTTGCTAAAATAGAAGAGCTTATATAAATCAAGGTGGTGGAGCAGACTTGGTAATCTCTTTGCATTATACATTTGTTCTGTGCTCAGTGAATTAATTCCCTGTAGGATGTTAGTACTAATACAGCATGAGGCTTAAAGAAACACTGGATGCCACAGAATGGATTTGTGTGTGCAGGTTTGAAGAAGTGTTGGTTTAACTTTTCTCAGAGCTCTGCATGTATAGAATGGATGTAACCTATTAGTCTTTTGTACATCCAGCTAATAGCCCATGGCTACAGGAATAGACTAGATGTAGTGAATTGCCTCTGTGCTATGGTTCCAGCATACTTGATCTCTTGTGCTTGGAAATAATATGGATAGTGATGCGGTAGTTAGAAAAGGGTTCACATAAATGCTACCTCTGCCTTGGATGGGGATCAGGCAAACACATTTATCTACCAATATGACAATGTCACTTCTGCCTTAGATGGGGATCTAGTAATCAAATTTATCTCCAAATGTGACAATACAAAACTATTCACTATAGATATAGCTTTTGCAATCACATAAAAGATTTAGGTATTTCAATCAAAGAGGTATCCTCTCTAGCAGTCTGTTATTTTTGTAGAGACTCCTTGGGTTTTCAGCTCTGAGACCCTGACACTCTGGTGATTCACGTGAGTTCTTAGTTTTCTTTATTAGCAGCCAAACAGAAGAGTAAGAATCCACATTTTCCATCTGCCTTATCTTTGTCCTTTTCTCCAGATGGTTCTTAGTACTATATACATATATATGTGTCATTCTGCCATTAAAATAGATAGACTATTTTGAGAGATTTATTGACATGTGCTGATTTACCAATGACAATATTATGGAATAAAACCATGCCTGCATAGCTGTAATAAGGGAGCTCCTTCCCAATCCAATTTTTTTTGATAGAGGATCATAATTTTTGCATTTAGTTATTTATAAGAGTTGATGAAAGGCACCAGTGTGACAAGCCCTAGAAGCCAGTGTTTTCAGATTTTTCCACCAATCAGTGGCAGAAATAGTAGGTAAATTTCCCCTCCGGTTTCTCAATTTTCTCCTTAACTTTGCTTTATTCCACATGAGTCTTCACCTCCTGTGTTTTAGGTCTGATAATGAAGTAATTAAGAAAGGAATATAGGGTTGTACAGTAAGCTTATCTGCCTTAAAGGGAGTAGGTAGAAACTCCTAATTTTTATTTCGACTGTATTGAACAACACAAAAACACTGACAGCCATCTAGCAAGGGCAGTATGTTCATGACAGAGGAAAACGGGAGAAAGAAGAAACCAAACAACAGTAACACAAAACTATGATGAACTTCTAAATTTACGAAGTCATACATGATCAGAAAATCTATAAAGTGCAGAGCCAGAAGCCAGGCCACTGAGTATAGCCTTAACTTCATTATATTATCTTCTTCCCATTGTTTAAGTACAAGTCCTGAAGTATTGGGACCATCTTATCCCTGATTGCTGAGTTTACTGGACAACTCCTAATATTGATTGGCAGAGATGTATACCCAACACATTCAAAACTATGTTCATGGGAAATGGCTCTTTGTTTCAGTCATATTGATTTAGTAGCATAAAATAAAAGCCCACTGTTAGAGATATGACTGACCAGAGCAGCTCTGGTATTAACAGAAAATTTTCAAGAAGAAATTCTCTTTCTAGGGGAAAGCTCTTCATTTTCCAATTAAAGAATAGCAGGCTAGGCACAGTGGCTCACGCCTGCAATTCCGGCACTTTGGGAGGCTGAGGAGGGAGGATCATCAGGTCAGGAGATTGAGACCATCCTGGCCAACATGGTGAAGCCTCCGTCTCTACTAAAAAAATATAAAAATTAGCCAGGTGTGGTGGGCACCTGTAATCACAGCTACTCTGAAGGCTGAGGGTAGAGAATCGCTGGAATCTGGGTGGCACAGGTTGCAGTGAGCCGAGTTCGCGCCATTGTACTCTAGCCTGGTGACCGAGTGAGACTCGCTCTCAAACAACAACAACAAAAAAAACACAGTAAATAGCAAAGGGACCTTTTCTGATTTTTAGCTAACAGTCTTAGTATTTGTGTGTCTGTTGCTTCCTGGAGGTGAGTCCTAATTTCTCGTTATCTAACAATGTGACTTCCAGGTACCATTATTGTCAGCTTTCTGCTTCTTTCTCCACCTCCTCCTCCTTCACTGGAAGTCACCTAATGAGCCACAGAGAGTGAATATGATATCCTAGATGATGACACCTACCTGAATACATCTCCCTGAAGCCCAGTCGCTCAAGTACAAAAGGTAAAGCGAGCACCTTCAGTCTCAGCCCGAGGAGTTTCTAAATTTTCAATTCACTTCCTCTTTAGACAATTTTCTCTTTCCCTTGTTTCAATTTGCTTGAAGACTGAAGATGTTTCTCTTTTTAATTTTTTTGTGCCTTCCTACCTGACACAATGTTTTGAATCATTTGGCTGAGAGAAGGCTAACTAAGAAAGAAAAACTAGATGGTGGTGGTGTATGTATGGCTTACTGAACCCTTCACTTTTTGCTCAAATAGATTTCATGCCTTAAGTTATGCCCATTACTTGCTTATGTAATTAAGTCAAATGAATTTGGGATACTTTTGCAAGTGATACAGGATTTAGCTCCACTGAAGAAGAATATTTTTAGACTGTGGCTGATATTACATAAATTTGGATACCCAGCAGGTTGAACTCTGACCCCTCTGTAACTTTGCTTCTGTAGCTGGATAGCTTGTCTTTTGATTCCTCTCCGAGTTGTCTCCATTCACCTTAGCATTTGAATGAGTTACCACTGGACCTGCTTGGGCTCTGACAGTATTGCAGGTTGCTGATTAATACAGTGCTACCTCATGTTCCCTGTAAGACCCATGTAACCTACTTTTCTCAATAAGAAAATATTTTTTATATGACTCCAATTGTCCTGCATTGCATTTCATATCAATACCTCAGTGAATTTAACCGAGATGTCAGCTGCTTAAGCCCTTTCATCAGCAAAGAAAACATGTTTTCTTAACTTATTTTACATGTTATAAAATAAGTTAACTAGTTTTTACATGTTAAAAAAAAAACATGCCCACAACAATTAAGCAATAATAGCTAATGAGATGCAAAACTTAGTCAAGATACTCTTGTCATTAGCATTAAATTTTCCAAAACAAAAACAAACTATCAGGCTTATTTAGAAAAAGTTTTGTTAGGTTGTTGATTATTAACTTTTAATCATGAGATAGTCTCAAAATAGGATTTTTGATAAAAGACATTAAGGGAAAACACAGATAGATATTGTTTCTTTCTTTTTCTCCTGTACAAGCTTATCAACTTTTAAAACGGTTATAAACACTTATAAAAAATCAAACCACCCTTCCCCACATATTTATATATGTATATATAAACAGTAGCTTTTAAATTAATTATGATTTGGGTCATTCTATACCATATGGAAAAAATGTGAAGACAACTGTCTTGTGTATGAAGCAGCTCAGGTGTTTATGATATACCTGATTTTATAACTGGGGAGAAAAAGGGCATGTTTTCTTCCAAATAGCCTCTATACAAAGTTTGTTCATGATTCAATTCCAATCTCTTGTTATCATATAGATATGTATATAAGTCGGTTTGCTGCTGGACATACCTTGTTGTAAAGAATGAAATTTATTTTTCAAGTCTGAATTAATCTCCAGTATAATTATTATTTGATTATATTGTATTGTTGATTTTATTGTATATATTGCAGTGTAGATTAAAGATATTAAAGCAATTTATAATAGGAGGTATGCAACAAAATAACGTAAGTTAACATGGCAATTAAATTTCTGCTTTCTTTTGGGTCCTTTTAGAACAGGTATAAAGTATTTGACTCTGACCCATCTTCAGTATGGACAGTTATCTTTTGAACTTTATTGGAATTAATTTAGTTAAGCAATTTAGTAAAACATAAATTTGCATTTTTTTGTTGTCTTCTATTGACTATTTTGCATATTAAAGATAAAGCCTTCCTTAAAATATGAAGTACTCTCTTGATTATGCCAGCTCTTTACTCATTCTGCTAAGGCTATAAATAAAGCTTTCTATTTAAGGCTGGCATTATATCAACCCACCTGCTTCTGGAAGAGGGAGAGGAAAAAAATCAGAATCACTCAACCTGCAGATTGCTGTCAGCTTGTGATTATGTGAATGGTAAGTCTTAACTTTTAAAGTGTTATGTGAGATAGCTGGAGGGTTTTTTTTCTTAAAGCAATTTCCAGTTTAACAATTACCCAAGAATCTCAGTTACCAATGAAAGAAGACTTGTCCCTGGAGAGAGCATTCATTGATGAGGTGAGGCAGCAGCTGAGAAGTGACAGTGGTGAGTAGGCAGAGGAGGAGAGGGAAGGATCATTTCAGTTGTTGTATCAGGAAAGGAGCCCATGTAGGGGAAGACCAATGCTTTTCTCCTTCTGTGGGGTCTCAGGGGAGTTTAGTTCCTGCTCTTTTTCTCCTTCCTATTCAGGATGTTCTCCAGGGAGAAGGGGGTCAGGGAGGGAGAAGCTATATTAAAGACCTTGAGAAACTTGAAAAGGGCAGTACAGGGCACAGGCAAGCTTGTCATGATGAAACTCCCAAATCTGGAAAGAGGAACCTCAGTCCCAGTCCTATTTTAGAAAAATAAACCTTTTACAAATATCTTAATTATGTCTTTTGTTGTTGTTGTTGGAAACATTTTATCCCAGGCCATCTGCTAAAAATCTCATGCAAGATAAGGAAGTTCTATCTAGTCCCTACCATTTTGGGAGAAAACATGCAGTTAGACTTATTGTTCTCCAAACAGACAAACCAACTTGAGAGTCGAAAACCTGTCATTAATTGTTGATTTAAAACATTGTTTACTTGGCTAAACCTTGCAAGCCTAGATATATGGCCCCTGGACCCAGTGTTTATTACGTTAATGGAGCTAAAGATCACAGCACTCAGCTATCATTTCATCTTGTAGACCTATGCTGTAAAGCTGTCCTTTCCCAGCTGCAGTGTAAATGAGAAGGCTCTCTTGGGAATGGCGTCTGAAGGGGAAAAGGGGAGCATCACTGAGAAATTCCTATCAAGGGTTTGCCAGAGTACCAAGAAACACCCTCTGTTGGCTAACCAAAACAGAAAATCCAAAAAATCAACAAGTCAAATAACATTTCATTCCCCAAGGCTTTCTACACCTAAAGGCAGAATAATCCCCAAACTCCTCCATCAGAAAATATCAAGGGTTGTAGCTGAAAGGAATTGAATGGAGCTCCCAAAGCCGATGGTGGAAAATCAATGGAAATAACCAGGCACATGCTGTATGAGTCTAACAAATAATGAATGTTAATTATAGTAAGAGAGATAATAAATCTTTACCTAAGTGCCAAGTAGAATGAAGGGCTTTGGTCCCATTTGTTACTAGATCCAGATGCCACAAAATCCATTTAATAGCTCATGTGAGCTACAGGTGACTGGGTCATAGAAAAAAAGGTATAAAAAGGACACCATTGAAAGTCAAGGAAGAACATGGTCTCTGATTCTTCAAGTAGGAGATAATAAGTATAAAAACTGGCAATAAAGAAAACAGGATTAAAATGGGTCTAAGTGTCTCCCTTGAACCTTCTTTAAATTTTTGATACATCTTTATATTTGGTCTTAGACTTCTAAGCTGAAAATTATGTAGTTCTTTTTTCTTTTCTAGAAACCCTGAAGACATATTCAGTGTTATTGAACAGATGTGTTGTTCTGAGCACATTGCCCGAAGTTAAACGTCCTCGACACAGAGATGAAGAGAGAGCCTGGAAGTGTAAGTTAATTTACATGAGACTCAACTAAACTTTATTTCTCCAAGATCACCTCCTCCCTTTTGTACCTCTGATATAAAAATGCATGTGTTCATACCAGAGTAAAGTGACAAAAGTCAGGCTTCAATGCAAATGACATTTAAATAATTCTTTTTTTAAAAGTCGCAGAAGATTGCAACTTCTGGACTCCTGTAACAACTGAGGAGTACAAACTATTTGACAGAACAATGAAAAAAATACGCATCCTAAATAGAGCAACTTCTGAATGTGTTTTTCCTAAGGGAGTTGTCAGTAATAAGCAAAATTTCTGAGAAGGTTGAGCAAAACCAGAGTGGAATGAAAACCAACTGGAATGACATGCTGGGCCAAACAACCATATTTCTTCCTGGGATACTTTGAAACAAAGCCTCCAGGAAGAAAATGACTCAGAGATGTCATATCTAAGCAAATAACATGACCCATGTTCTGGTATGAGCTGTTATGCTCTACCATGCCCTAGTTGATATAACAAAGAGGTAATCAGAAGCCATAAGGGAAAATTCATGAATCCCTTTGTGAAACTGAGTACTAAAGCACCAGTGTTTCAGTCAATGGATACAAGACACAAAGAGGACCCCAAGATCTGCTCTAAGAGTGAGGGTGTAGAAAGTTGAACGTCCATTTAGTTACCTGTTAATCCATTACTATGATGGATGCTTCAGGGAAAAAGTAGCCAATTGCCCTGGAAATATCTGGTCCATATATTTTTATGATCTGAACCCTGACACAGGTAATTTTTTTTTTTTGTAATCTATCGAAGGCCAATTCAAACAGTATTTTTACTCTTATTAGAAACATTAGGTTGAGGAATACTTCAGCAGAGTACTACTCTAGTCTAAAGTTGACCAGTCTGGGTTCTATGGAGATCTAGTTTTTGAAAATCTTAACAGTTACAGCATGACAGAAAGTGCTTCCTGCTCATATAAATTAGTGAAGCCCAAAAATAAACAATATTAAACAGGATTCTTGTTTACAGGACTTTTTGGAGGATTTATTAGGCTCATATAGACTTTGAATCTCTAAAGGTGGTTACAGAATGCATTTCTCTAATATATTGGGTCAACAGGACTCTTTTTTTGGAAAAATGCTTAGAAATATCTTAAATAAATATTGTTCCATAGATCAGAATATGGGACCTCTGAGAAAACCCAATCTCTTTTCTTCCAGTGGAATGAATAATAGCTAAGTCTTTTTTATGGATGGGTACATTTTAATCCAATTTCATTTTACTCAGCTGTTTTTGGCCAACTTTTATTTTGACAAAAGAGCCATCAGAAACACAAAGCCTTTTTATTAATTGCTCAAGGTTTCTCTTTCTTTTTTGACAATTAGTTGAATACTACTTCAGACAGTGCTGCAAAATAAAGTAGCTTCTATTCACTTTGGGAAGTTTCTTGGAAATCTCTACTTTAACTTTGTTAATCTTTAAATTTTAAAGGCCGCATTCCATTGGCACACAAGTTGGATTAGTGATAAAGTTTGCAGCAGAGCTTGATTTTCATTGTTTGATATAAATAAGGTATTTGGCACAAATGGGAAATAAAATTTTAAAAGATCTATGATAATCACCAGAAAAGTCACATGAAAAATGAATTGAACAGGTAATTCTTTAATCTTTCATGGTATTTTCCACCTTTTATGAAGGGAAAAATGGGTTTCACTGTTGCTATCTGATTGGCAAACCAATTTCTGGGCTTGTCCTATTTTTACTGTATTCAATTTAATTTAATTAAAGTTCTTCAAAATTTCAAATTTCAAACTAAAAAAACCCAGCCTTTTGAATATCAACCCACCAATCCAATGTCAAGAAGCAAACCCCAAAGACCTTATACTCCGGCTTACATGTTATTCAAAATGTGACCTAGATATTTCCTACCAGTTCTATGCTGACTAAATATGTGACATTTCATGAACACAGTCCACATTCAATGCTTTCTCAGATCATATAACCATACGCTTTGAAAGTCATTCACTGACTATTTAGCCAAATGAATCTATGCCTCCATTGAACCAGATCACTGGTGGTCATGGCATGACACCAGTTTTTAAAAATTGGAATGTTTAACTTTGAGTAACAGTCATTAATACAAAGTGAAGTGGACAAATATTCTTGGGTCAGAGAGAGAAAGAAAATCAGCACAACTTAACATATTTATAGGGCTATAATCTTGCTTTTTCCTCAGTAGAGGAAAAAAATCAGTAATTTTTAAAAAATCCATCTTGTTTTTTCTCAGTTCTTAAAAAACAAGACAAATTCCTCTGTTTTACACAAGATAATTTTCAAAGTAAAACTCAAAATCTAATTGGTAAGGAAGCAGGAAGAAACCCTGAAATTGTCTATTCAAAGTAATACTGTGTGTACAGCATTCAAATAGAGAACATCAGAGTGGCAGAAGCTAGGTGTTCTCTTCACTAGCAGCAGTATAGCACGCAGGCAGCTGTCATGTTTTAAAGAGATTCTTGTTTGCATTAACATCATGTGATGCATGTATCACCCTGTGTTGGCATCTGAGAAGAACTCTTTCTTATTCAGAGAGCCTTTGAAATCTGAATTCTTGATTTTAGCTACTGGTGAATATTATCCTATGGTTATTTGTAACCATTACCTCTTCTTCCATTTGTATTAACCTGCTAGTAGTGACTGGAAAGTAAAATCAAGGAGTGATTAAATGGATCATTTTCATTATTAACACCTACCTTGCATTTCACAGGTACATCTAGTGGTGCACCACCTTCTGGAGAAACCAGGGCTTTTTTACAGTAAACTGGTCCAGTGTGATATTACAAGTATAAAAAATATTCCATTCTGTATCAAAACTAGGCACATGCCTTTATTTATAGTAACAGAAGTTAACAGAGTTGAGCAGTTTTGCCTTGGGTCCTGTTTCTTGGCATCCTACATCAGACAAACACATCTCTCAACATATCTCCGCCCAGAACTCCAGGGATCTAGTCTCAGGGTCATCTGTCGGTAACGGAAGGTGAAATCACACTTGGATCTATAGTGGTGAGTAACTAAAAGCACAACTTCTCATTCATATTGCTTTAAAACATGTACAGCATATATGTTTCAAAAAAAAAAAAGAAAAGAATATATTGATCTTTTTGTGGTGCTGAACCAACAATATGGTATGATGCAAGGCTTTAACAAATGATAATCATAGATACAAATTTTTCTGTAGAGTATATTTTAGACCAATGTGTCTTTTTAATATGTAAATCCTACACTGTAGGTTGTTCTTATTTTTTCTTTTGTTTTTGCAGTGGTAGAAAATGCTGAATAATTGTCCATGAGTGTGAGCCAAAGATTCAGGTTCATTACTGAGATCCCCAGAATGCCAATATTTGCAATGCAAACATTTAGTATCCCACTGTGTGGAGGGCTCTGACACATGCCTGCCTGCCTTTTGATGAAGAGTATCCATTGGAAGTCCTCCTGCTTCCATAGACCCTTCTTTTGACACAGGGACAGCTGCACACGGCTGCCTCTTAATCTAGTAATTTCCTGTGTCATACTGTCTTACTGATTACCAACATTGGCAAAAAGACAGGAGTATGAGGGGTGGGCCCTCAAATCATTTTCATGTTGAACCTCCTGGGTCCAGCTCCCTCCCCTTCTGCAACAGCACCATTGTTTTTTCTGGGCACATACTCAAGGTCAATGCTGTTTTTGTGCTTGCCTTTCCCTCGGCTCCACACAAAAAGGAGAAGAAAACAAAATAAAACCACTCCCAGGAATGTGAAGCAGCCCATAGCTGTCGACACCAGTATTGTTTTAAGGTCCAAGGAAAATGTATTGGCATTGGTGCCATTGGAAATGGTGTCATTGGAGTCGGTCATGTACATAGGGGTCCTGTTCGCATAAAGAAAGCGATCTGAAGCGAATCCTTTCACAGTTAAGGAGGCTGTGAAGGTGTCATTCCCAGCAGCATTGCTAGCGATGCAAACATACATCCCACTGTCTTGATCCTGGGCAAAGCGGATTTCCAAGGTGCCATCTGCCAATACAGTAGCTCTTCCATTGGATTTGGTGGTGATGAAACGCCTTCGGGGTGTCACCCAGGAAATCACAGGTTGTGGGTCTCCATCCGCATTGCATTCTAGCTGGACTGTCTGCCCTTCATCTACTAGCAGATGCTGCAACTTCTTTTCACGGATTTTGGGTTTTTTGCAGGTAAAGTAAAAAGAAAGGGCAGTGCTATGGAAATCCTTGAATGACCTCTCGCGAATGGTGTCTGGGCCAGCACACATGGGTTGCTGGCCACCAAACTGCAAGGT